ATGTTGGCGGCATACAATTATGACAAAAACAGAGACTACGAAAATCATGCAGATGTCGCCATTGGACCGATGAATAAAGTTTGTTTCCATTGCCATGCTTTGAAGTTTGCAAAGGAATCACCAGGAATGTGTTGTTCAAATGGTAAAATAGTTTTGCCATCGTTAATTGAGGCACCTGAACCACTACTTAGTTACCTTTCTGGCACAACTCCTATTTCAAACCACTTTTTGAAAAACGTACGCAAGTACAACTCTTGCTTTCAAATGACTTCGTTTGGAGCAACGAAAATTATATCTGAAGGCGGTTACATGCACATCGATCGTGTGATGCACTCCAATATCCAGTGCTGTTTCCCATGGAGAAGAAGGATATCATTTCAACATCAGGCAAGTCGACCCCAGCACAAGTGAGGCGACGACAAAGAAAGTGTCCTGCATGGATTATTATGCAAACCGCATTATGATTCGTGGAAATGAATCCAATCATATCTTAAAATGTCGTGAATTATTCCAACAGTTTATTGCGAACATGTACGCGAAAGTCGAAAGTGAACGTCTTGTTTTCATTCGCTTAAATCAAAAGAAGCTGCGCGTTGAAGAATACGTTCATTTACGTGATGCAGTTGCTATTGATGGAAACATTGCTGACATTGGACAAATGGTAATTTTACCTGTAACATATACAGGAAGCTCGCGACACATGCACGAATACGGGCAAGATGCTATGACGTACGTTCGAAAGTATGGACGACCAGACCTATTCATCACCTTCACTTGCACTCCATCGTGGAGTGAAATATCCGAATTGCTTTTTGCAGGCCAGAGCTCATCGCACAGACATGATCTTCTCGCTCGAATATTCAAGCAAAATCTAATAAGTCTTATGAATGTCATCACGAAGAATTTTGTTTTTGCTGGATGTACTCAATTGAATGGCAAAAGAGAGGCTTACCACGCGCTCACATTTTGATTTGGTTGAAGTGAAAAATTATACCTACACAAATTAATAGCGTTATATCAGCCGAGCTTCCAAATCAAGCTGAAGATCCCATTCTTTTTGAAATAAACAAGAAAAATATGATTCATGGGCCATGCGGTACTTTTAATCCTAATTCACCATGTATGCAAAACGGCAAATGCACAAAGCGATATCCACGTGAGTTGATTACTGAAACTCAAACTGGAGGTGATGGATATCCTCTGTATAGGCGAAGAAATCCCACTAATGGTGGATACACAACTACTATTAAGATGCGAAGTGTAGATATCGACATAGACAATAGATGGATCGTGCCATACTCGCCACTACTTTCAAAAATGTTTAATGCTCACATCAATGTTGAGTATTGTAATTCGGTAAAGGCCATAAAATATATTTGTAAATATGTTAACAAGGGCAGTGACATGGCAGTATTCGGATTAGCAAATCGAGTTGATGAGATCACGCAATATCAAACAGGGCGCTACATCAGCAGTAACGAAGCAGTATGGCGAATATTTGCATTCAATATTCACGAACGATATCCAACGGTTCAACATCTTGCTGTTCATTTGGAAAATGGTCAGCCGGTTTACTTCACCGAAGAAAATGCGCAAAATAGAGCAGAGCAACCACAAAACACAACACTGACTGCTTTTTTCGAATTGTGTACATCCGAAAATTTTGCTAAAACGTTGCTGTATCAAGATGTGCCCAAATATTATACTTGGAACACATCGACAAAAAAGTTCAACAGAAGAAAAAGAGGTGCAATTGTTCCAGAGAATCCTGGTATATATTCGTCCGATGCATTGGGACGTGTGTATACTGTTCATCCAAATAACGCCGAGTGCTATTATTTGCGGTTGTTGCTGCATACAATCAAAGGGCCGACATCATTCCTTGCATTGAAAACCATCGACGGAGTAGAATGCCAAACGTACAGAGAAGCGTGCTTTAAACTGGGCTTACTTGGGAATGATCAGAATTGGAACACAACTCTGACCGAAGCATCACTCACGTGCCATCCAAAGCAAATACGAACTTTGTTTGCGATAATTTTAACAACATGCGCACCATCGAATCCTCGACAACTGTAGGAAATGCATCGTGAAAGCCTCAGTGAAGATATTCTAAGAAAAGCACGTGCAAGCGATCCAAGTCAGGAATATTCGGATGACATTTTCAATGAAGCTTTAATATTAATGGAGGACTTATGCATGTCAATCAACAACAAAGCTCTTTGTCAACTCGGTATGCCAGCACCCACACGAGATAGAAATGCTGTACAAGACAGAGACTTGATGCGAAAACAGCAGTTTGATGCAAATCAGCTTGAACGATTTGTGCAAACGCAAAAAGAGTTTTTAGTTGCTGATCAGAAAAAAGCTTATGACAAAATCATACAACGTGTAACCAAAGGAGATGGCGGAATTATCTTCCTAGATGCTCCAGGAGGGACCGGGAAAACTTTCCTCATCAATTTAATATTGGCGTCAGTTCGAATGCGAAATGGGATTGCAGTAGCAGTAGCATCATCGGGGATTGCATCAACACTACTTGATGGAGGACGTACAGCGCATTCAGCTTCCATTGAATTTGCACCAGACCGAAACACCTACATGCAACATCAGCAAAAACTCTGGTATGGCCATAGTCCTTAAAACGTGCAAAATTATAATTTGGGACGAATGCACCATGGCACATAACAAATCGCTCGAAGCACTTGACCGAACTCTGCGAGATTTTCGTGGAAAAGACCAACCGATGGGAGGCGCTCTTATACTTCTTGCAGGTGATTTTCGTCAAACATTACCCGTTATACCACGATCAACGCCTGCAGACGAGCTGAACGCGGGCTTAAAGGCATCGCATCTGTGGAACTATGTCGAAAAAATTACGCTCACAACAAATATGCGAGTGCATTTGCTGCAAGATACGTCTGCCCAAATATTTTCAAAGCAACTTTTAGATATCGGAAACGGTAAAGTTCATATTGATCGCACCACAAATGAGATATCATTTCCGTCCAACTTTTGTCAAGTGCAGCAGAGCATTCAAGACGTCATCGACAGAGTATTTCCGAACTTAACGATCAACTACCGATATCCGGAATGGCTCCGCGAACGTGCAATTTTAGCTCCGAAGAACGATGATGTTAGTAAATTAAACGGTCAAATTCAATTGAAAATTCCAGGAGAAGCAGTCGAATATAAATCGATTGATACAGTAATGGACAAAGATCAAGCTGTTAATTACCCAACTGAACTTCATAATTCTTTGGAGCCACCTGGAATGCCTCCTCATTCGTTGGCGTTAAAAGTTGGATCACCAGTGATGCTTATTCGGAACTTGAACGCGCCGAAACTGTGCAACGGAACCAGAGTGATAATAAAAAAATTAACACCGAATTTGATCGAGGCAACAATCATCAGCGGTAAATTCAAAGGCGAAGATGTGCTAATTCCACGTATACCGATGATTTCCAACGATTTACCGTTCGAATTCAAGCGGCTTCAATTCCCTTTGCGTCTTGCCTTTGCTATAACTATAAATAAAGCACAAGGGCAAATGCTTTTCACATGGCCAATTATACGTCGCCTGTTCACGAGTTGGGACACCACAAAATTTATATATTTACACACCAAATGAAAAAACTAAAAATATTGTTTATCCCTTAGCATTAAATAAAGTAAATAAAAAGGTATTCAATTTCAAATCTCTAAATACATGTGTTTTTCTTTGGCGTAGCAACGCGCGCCGGGTATTGCTAGTATATATATATATTTCATGATCCAATGATCGGATCTAAACCAGATTAGTATGGGACCACCTCTGAGACACTACCTTTCCGATGCAATAATTATCGAAATCTGTTGACGTGGTCCAAAGTTATACGGTAACATACATAAAAAATAAAAAATAAAATATTCCGACGAACTGATAACCTCCTCCTTTTTTGGAAGTCGGTTAAAAATATATTTTCTAAAGTTTTGCCTGAAAATATGTCAATTTATAGTTATAGTTTATTTTGGAAAACAGACCTATGTTTTGGGCAAAACGAATGGTTATTGTGATTCTTAAAATATGCAATTCAATGTTAAATACATAGTTATAAGTTATAACTATTGAACTGATCCCTTTATAAAACAAACAATACAAAATTTCAATGTAAATACTTTTAAATAATTTAAAACTTAAATTTAAGTTGAAATAAAAATCACACCAAATTATAAATTATAAATTTCTATATACATATTAGGGTGCCCATCGAAAATGCTTTTTTTGAAAATTTCCAGACCCTACGCCCTAAATTTTATTTGTTTTGATGAGAAATATTATTGCCTATTTTTATAGATTATTTAAGGTCATTTAGAGGTCGCGACCTGTCGATTTAGGCCAGAAAATAGGATTTTGTAGATTTATGAATTTTTGAAAGACTATTTTTGGTTCGATTTCAAAGATCGAATATAATCTGAGAAGAGGATATATAGGCCTTTGTGGTGTATAATAGTCTATTGTCGGACTAGGCTTGTTGGGATTTTTCATCGGGTAAATTAAAAAAATACACATATTTCTCTTAATTTTTTAAATTTTGACCATCGATAATTTCTACAATTTCAAAATAGGGAGTACTATCTAAAATTAAATCTATTTTCAAATAAACTGATACCTCATTTATTGCAATCGCATAAAAATTGTCAAATTTAGGCGACTTTCCTTAAATACGACCTTGAATTTATATGTGTATATGTACGGGAATTTCAGATTTTTTGAGCAATGTGGCTCAGGAGTTCTTATTTATTCAAAATTGATAAATACAATCGCTCTTTAGCAAAAAGTGGGTTTTCAAGAAATTTTAGGAAAATGGGGGTGGCACCGCCCACATATATGATATATGCGTATCTCAAAACCTACTTGACCGATCTCGACCAAATTTGGTATACACATTGTGCTTACCCTCCTTAAGTACAACATTTTTGAGATCGGACAAAACCTACTCCCTAAAAACATAGCTAGCTTTGAGTTTTTTCTTGTCCGATTTCAAAAATTTTCAATACGGTGCTTAAGAAGCCTAAGCGCAATGTGTTTACCAAATTTAGTTGAGATCGGTGGAGTAGTTTTTGAGATACGCATATATCATATAAGTGGACGGTGCCACCCCCCCTTTTCCTAACATTTCTTGAAAAACCCACTTTTTGCAAAAGAGCGATTGTATGTATCAATTTTAATAAATATTGATGAACTCCTTAGCCCCACTGCTTAAAAATCTGAAATTCCGGTACATGCACACAAATAAATTCAAGGCCGTATTTAAGAAAAGTCGCCTAAATTCGACAATTTTTACGCGATTGCAATAAATGATGTATCAGTTTATTTGAAAATAGATTAATTTTAGATAGTACTCCATATTTTGAAATTGTAGAAATTATCGATGGTCAAATTTAAAAAATTAAGAGAAATATGGGTATTTTTTTAATTCTCCCGATAAAAAATCTCAACAAGCCTAGTCCAACAACAGATTATTATATACCGTTTAAAGTGCCTATATATCTTCTTCTCATATTATATTCGATCTTTGAAATCAAATCAAAACAGTCATTCAAAAACTGGTAAATCTACAAAATCCTATTTTCTGACCTAAATCGACAGGTCGGGGCCTCTAAATGCCCTTTAAAAAATCTATAAAAATAGGCAATAATACTTCTCATAAAAACAAATAAAGTTAGGGGGTAGGGTCTGGAAATTTCCAAAAAAAAGCATTTTCGATGGGCACTTTAATACATATATATTTGGCACGGGGAATGTTTCACATTGTACATATGTAACTTTTTAAAACATAGTTCACACTACAACAAAAACATAAAAATGTATGTATGCAAAACCCAGGAAAATTCAATAAATTTGCCTACAAGTTGACACTGTTGTATAACTAAGTGCCAGTTTGAAGTTGGTAAAAAATCGCGTTGATTTTTGGCAGTTTCTTCCAAACAAAAAAATGTCGAACAGACTTTGTGTACTCGTCTTGTTTAAGCAGCCACGGCTTGAACTCTTTGTTTGAAATCCATTCGTCACTAAAATTTTTGACTTTATTGTCGATTAAATAGCATATGTCGGCCGCTGTGGTGTAGTGGTAAGCAGTGCGCGCTTCCACTCCGCAACGCCTGGGTTCAAGCCCTGGTCAAAGCAACATCGCAAAAAATGTAGAAAAAGGTTTTTTCTTAACAGCGGTCGTCCCTCGGCAGGCAATGGCAAACCTCCGAGTGTATTTCTGCCATGAAAAACAGCTTCTCATAAAAATACAATCGCCGTTCGGAGTCGGCGTAAAACTGTAGGTCCCCCCGCTTTGTGTGACAACATCAAGGCGCACGCCACAAATCGGAGGAGAAGCTCGGCCAAACACTAACATATGTGTAAGCGCCAAACTATTATTATAAATAGCATATGTAAAATAAACATATGTATATGACTGTACTCGTATGTACATTAGGCTCGGTCAATGTTGATTTTAATAAATCGCATGGTATTTCCTGATTCTTCAGATAATTTTTTTTATAAATTATTTGTACAATACTTAATATTCTACAAATAAATATCAGCAGCACTGGCTGCAAAGGCCTTCGGCTGTCTGTTATTATATAAAGCTTATTTGTATTGAAATTAGATACAAAAATGCGAGGATAAATTATTACTTAGAAGGTAGGGTTAATGAATTAATTAAATTATCTACATGTGTACATAGTTACTTATATCATATTTGTCGCAGTAAATCAGTTTCTTTAAGGAAATTATAAATAATTTCCACATTTTTTGCCGTGGGCTCGTGCAAAAGCTGGAATGGATCGACGAAACCAAGAAGCAAGAAGCTAGTATGTGTTCCAACGTTGCATTTTCGTCGCAAAATAGACAGCTACTATGCGGGGCACGTTGCAGTAAATGAGCATGTGTAATTATGGTGTAGCCCAGACGTAAGCGGGTGAAGGGCCTGATGGCACGTAGTGGGATGTCTGGAGTAGGGATGTTGCGAATGTGGAATTTTAGACATCCGAGGATGCGTATGCGGATGCGAATATTAAACTGCTAACATCCGCGGATGCGGATGCGAATGCGGATGTCAAGTATTTTTAAGCAACAATTAGAATCTGGCATAATGGCGAGATCGTTGTTTAAACAGCGCTTACAAGCTAATCCAGATGTGACAAGTTTTTCTAAAGCTTTTTAAAAAGAAACTTTCATTCTCAATTCTTTGGCTGTTTCAGAATATGGGGAATCTGTAACTTCATCAGCGTTTTTCGATTTTTCGACTGGTTTGAAAAATGTGTGCTTATGGCGAGCTAAATCGGTGGATATGGAAAGTAAATTATTACTTTCCAGGAATGAAAATTTTGAACAAAATTCTGTTTTCAAAGTCGTGTTTTTTATAAGCATTTTCATCTCAGAAAGTTACGTAATTCTTATCTAAGTAAAGGTCAGACCTATAGCTTTTTAATCCTTTGAGCATATATTCTCTTTATAGCCAGACGTTGATCATTTCTGCTTTAAATCCCTATTGAAGGAGCTTACTCTTTGACTTTAAATAGCAAAGAAGGGACAATTTTACCGCAGAAGTTTTTAACCAGGATCCAATGTATATCCCTACGAAAAAAATATTGTCCGACAAGTTAACAAAATTACTGTTTTTAAAATTTTTGCTAAAAATAAAGAAGAAGAGCCTCATTTGAAATTATTGAAACGAATATATGTATGTAACATCAAAAGCAAATCACGAAAATTTGCTTAAGAATTACAGTGTACACTTTCTTATTTTTTGGCTAGTAGATTTTTTAAGATTACTCCAAAAAATCATAATAAAGAAAGAAACCAATGCAGGTATTTAAAGAACAGCAAAAAAATTATTAAAGGACTATGTCCTCTTTGACGTACGTCAAAGGTCAAGTAGAAGTGGGAACTTGAATGACTGCCCATTGATAGCTCGTTTATATAATATATCAAATATTATATATCGTTATCAAAATTGATAAATATGATATTTGACCAGTTTTGTTACACAAATACTCCCTCGACCACAGGCAAAAATATTGGCTACAATTTGTCATATTGTTTGCCATATATACGTTTTATCCGTGCACTTGCACAACATTCGCATTCGCAAAAGCTCCGCATTGATTATTGCGAATGCGAACGTTAAAATTAATGCGGAAACACCGCGGTTGCGAATGCGAATGTGAATATTCGCAACAACCCTGGTCTGGAGTATAGATCGGTTTTATTTTGAAAGGGTTGATTTTCGAATAGTGATGAACATATCCACTCCAGTTATTTAATGCGCTATTTTGTCTTTGTTGAGTAATCTCAGTTAAGAGGTCTTGCTTACTAAAATAACCTAACGTCAAAGTTGGAGTATTTGCTGCATTTTTCGCAGCTGCGTCCACTTTTTCGTTACCCGATATCCCTGTGTGCCCTGGGATCCACATCAGTTTGAGTTTGTTTGGATATTTCAAGAGATTATTGCGTATGGCTACTATTTCATTTTGTGAATTTTGCGGTTATTCTATGGCTTCAATACAAGATTTGCTATCCGTGCATATTATGAACTGTGCTTTGGTGTGCTTTACATGAGAAACTGCTTCTAATAACGCGGCGACTTCGGCCGTAAACGCTGAACAGACTGTGTGGAGTGTCCCGTGTCTTATCAGGTCGCAATTTTCTTTTATAACTGCGAATGTTGTATAGTGAGCTGTTTTAGAGCCGTCGGTTTATAAAAAATTCTATCCGAGACCAGAGTATTTCGACTTCCCGGAAGCAAAAAGTTGTCTATATTGTTCGCTTGTGGTCTTGTCTTTTGTTGCTAGTAGTTTCAGGGTCTTGATAGCAAAGGACACGTTTTTTATCATCCATTGTGGACGAGTTTCAGGTTCAAGGATACGTTTATAAGATGTTAACTCAAGTTGTTTGGCAACGTTGACACATTGCTCAATGACTGACAGGCGCTTAGGTTTCCGTTTCTTCGAGAAGGCCTTCTGGACGTCTTTGGCCAGAATGGTGTTCGGTGTAAAAAGAAGCTTTGGTAGCAGACGGCGGGTGCAATCGATAGTCCTCTCCGTTATAGTCGGCAGGCCAGTTTCGGCAAAAAGATTCTTTAATGGTGTCGTTGGAAAAGCCCTTATGCTTCTGCGTATGGCCACATGATAAGGGGTGCAAAGGTTTTTCAACATAGAGCTATCGCCGAAGATAGGTAGAGCCTAGTCAATCTTGGAGAGCATTAGAGCCTTAGTGATGTTGATGAGCGTGGTTGGATGAATTAAGCTTTTTTAGACGTTAGATATTTGATTATATTTAGTCGCGTTAGCAGACAGTCTTTAACGTATTTGCAATGAGCCTTAAAGCTATATTTAGAATCTAATATTAGCCCTAGAATTTTAAGTTCATTTACCAAAGACCATGTCCCAATTTCGGCTAAAATGTTATCGCAAAGTCTTGACGTGTTAGTAAGATTTGCATTTTTTGTATAAAAAATAACATCGTCAGCATATAGCTGGCATTCGATGCCGCGATGGTTATAAGTGTATTGAATAATCTCTTCAAAAGCTATTGTAAAAAGGAAGGCAGATAATGGAGACCCTTGCGGGGATCCATTGTGTAATGGAGCTATGGAGGATAGGAAACCATTTAATTTTACTGTGCATTTTCTGCCGTAAAGAAAGTTCTTGACAAATTTCTTGATTTTTGGGCCTAGCTTCCGTTTATCTAATTGTCTCAGTACAATATGGGCGCCAATTCGGTCGAATGCTTTCTGAAAATCGATTGATAGAATATTGACATGGTTTCTAGCGGATAAAGCGCTTGTTATGAAGTGATCTAGGTGCAAAAGAGCGTCGATAGTGCCATAACCTTTTCTATATGCGGTTTGATTGGGGCTTATTAGTTTTCTGTTTCTGCAATACCACGTTAGTCGGTTAACTATAATTTTTCAAGAAGTTTCCCCAAACAAGGTAAGAGTGATATCGGCCTATAGTTGTTGACATCAAAAGCTGACTTGTTGGGCTTCAGGATGGGAACTATGCACGATGTTTTCCAGGCCTGGGGAAAGTTTCCGGTTTCAAATATATTGTTATAAAGGTTGAGTAGCCGATGCTTGGCCTGAATAGGCAGGTTTTGAATAATTGAATATGTAATTTTATCAAGGCCGGGGGTCTTGCCTTTAACCGATGAAAGAGCGAATTCGAGTTCAGTTAATAGAGTTTTCGACCCTAGTTGCTTGGCGGGAGGTGGTAGCAAATAATATATGGGTTGCTCATTACTTATTTTTCCAGATTTTAGATTGCGTGTCTGAGAAGTTTGCGTCAGATGAAGCGAGTGAGAGGAAAGAGGTGCAATGGTTGGCAATGTCAATAGGTGCAGTTAATGGACCATTTTGAGTTTGAATGTAGATAAAAGGAGGCTGTTTAGGAGACCCAGTTAGCATTTTGATATCATCCCAAATTTTCTTTGGGTTAGAGGAGGGGTTTATCTTCTCAGTGAATTCTTCAAACGTTTTCCTTTTGGCTTGTTTGGCAGAAAGTCTGAACAACGCATTAACCTTTTTATATAGACACAGGTTTTACGCTGAACGCGTTCTCTTGTATTCATGCCATGCATTCTGCTTTGTGAGACGTAGTCTGGACAAGTCAGAGTTCCACCAAAAATTCTCAAAATTTTTGCACTCTTGATTAGGGTTGGAGGAAACTTGTGCGGCATATTTGTCCGAACTTTTTCCAGTCCGCTTGAACAGTTTTGAATTTTGATGTAAAATTAAATGTACTTTGATTATTTGGGGAATTAGTTTGAATGAGGATTGGAAAGTGGTCACTGCCAAATAAGGAACTAAGCACTTTCCATGTGCATTGAGGCGCTAGATTAGCAGAGCAAAACGTGACATCAATACTAGAAAAGGTGTTGCGGGTTGAAAAATGTGTGGCGGATCCGTCGTTTAGGCAGATCAGATTGGATGCAAGTAGAATACCTCCAATTTTTCCACCTCTTGAGTTTACGTATGCAGAGCCCCAGATTGTACTCCATGCATTAATATCACCTCCTAAAATTAGCGGATCATCGAATTGCCTTATCAATTGCAGAATATCGGAAGAAGAAAACTCTTGAGTGGGCGGAATGTAGGTACAAACTGCTACTAGTTTTGTTGGTGAGTTTATTTCAACGGCCACTGCAAAAGATTAGAGGGGACGGGCAGTACTTTGTGTGATATGCTTCTTTTTATTAGAATGGCGCAGCTTTGTTTTTTTGTGGTTATGTGCGGAAGATTATGAAAATGGCTGATTATATGGGACATGAGTTTCATTTAGGAAGATAATGGATGGAGCGTATGAAGAAATAAGAGTTTCAAGTTCGTGATAATTATTTACATAGCCGTTCATTTTCCATTGTACGATCGACAGCATAAGGAAATAAGAAAAGAGAAAAGAGAGAAAATAGATAGAGAGTAAATGAATAGTGAGAAATTAGTATAGGCAACTACGAGTATGCTATGCTTGACATAGCGTGTCTAGTTGCGTGGAGTTTTTATGATTTGGAGCTATCAGCGAAATGCGCAGTGTCGTTTAACTTATGGTCTGATTATGCATGCTTCGCATAACTTCGCACAACTTCGCATAAACTTCAAACTGTAATTTCGTATGTATTTTTTTATGTATTTAGTGTGTATTCTATTACCCAGAAATTAGCAGAACTTTTAAAAACTTAGGGATCTGTTGAGCCTAAATTTTGCTTCATATTTGCGAAGTATGCATAATCAGACCATTAGTGTTTTCTAAGGTGGAATGCATTTCTTTGCTGAGCTGAGAATTTAGAAAGGAAGAGAGATTTGTATCCGTACTTTGAGAGAGTGCAGATGATGTGGTGAGGTTTATTATATTTGATTGTAATGTAGAGGTGGATGGTGTATCGTGTGGTGAAGTTATGGGAATGAGATTTGGTTTAATATTTGTTTTTGTTGTTTTTTCAGTGACTTTATTAGTCTGCGTTCAAACACGGAAACTCGAGTTTCTTATTATCGGCGATTTCTCTTTTGGTGTTGCCCTTTGCATTCACACACAGAAACTCTTTTGCACGCAATTGTTGTTGTCAGCTGTGAATCGCCAACTGGAATTACTCAGACGAACGGGAGCGCAAAGCGTGTTTCCCCTTTCCTCGTCGCTCTCTCCCCTACAAGCTTCGAGTTTCCGCAACAAAAGTTTTCGTGTCTGAACGTCGACTTAATAATGTTGCTGGCTACGGGAGCAGAAAGCTTAGTAGTTTCCGAGAATGATTGGAGAGGGATGGTGGGGGGAGCTTGCCCTCTGTATTTTTGTGATGCTTCGCGCATACTGCACTTCTCTATTGTTTTTATTTTTAGTATTTCTTTCGCTTGTTGGAATTTTGGTCAGCTGATTGAGGCTGAGGAATGCTCGCCAGAACAATTCGCGCACATTGTTCTTACGCAGTCTTCTTCGTTGTGCGGAGGGAAATTACAATTGACACAAGCTCATGATTCAATAATACAAGGTTAGATAATTATTGACAGCCGCGGTTTGACACTCCCTTACAAAAGGTTGCATTTGCGAAGGATTGGGAAAGGGGAGCAATGAAATGCATTGCTGCGATAATGGTAGTAGAAAAGTACCCAAAGTAGGCAAATAGTAGTGAAATTCCTTTTGTAAATTCTAATGTATTTGCAGGAAATCTAGAATTTTAAACGAAATATTGAACGAAATGTTAATATATCTACGTGAACTACGCAATTTTTGTGTTACTTGGCCGTATAAAAACTGCAAAAAGACTCAAAATTAATATAAAACTACTATGAGATTTATGTAAACATCCAATTTAAAAGCAGTTTATGTTTTCATCAGTTAAATGTGCTTCATATACATATACAAATAAACATATTGCACAAACGCTTATACTTCTATTTCACAGCAAAGCAACACTTTTTCCAAGTAAATTTGCAAAGAAGCAACACTTTGCCACTGCTAAGGGAGCGGTGCGAGAGAGACAACTGTCAGTTTATCGAACCTTGTATTATTGAATCATGACACAAGCTGGGAGATTTTTACAATGCTTTAAAGTAGGGATGGGCGGCAGAACAGCTCGCGCGCAGCAGCGCGGGCCAGCAGGTGCTTGATGCGGGGTAAAAATTTAAAACCGAAAGGGTAAGCAATAGCCGTGTACGTGTATTAACCCATTTTATGCAATGTATATTGCCAAATGCTATTATATTCACCTCTTTGTTTAAAATTGATTATACATATGTAAAAAATAGTATGTGCTAATTCATACTGGCGAACAATAACGTGTTAACGATCTTGCTTGCGCATGACGGTAGAAAACCGTCATATAAAAAGGTTGTCTTGCGCATGATTGTCCTTTTTTTCCAAGCAAATTTCTAACGAAAAATTATCTGCGCGAGAACAACCCCTCCTTTTGAAAATTTGCGACCAACTGAACGCTGACAATGCAAAAGTGAATTACAAAACAGCTAATACATGAACGAAAGACACAAGATCATGCCTTCCCGAAAGAAAGAAAAAAGTTATTTTCTAGCTGTTGAAATCTCGACGCCATCTTTGTTGTAAGAAGTAAAGAACGAAGAGAACAAAAAAAACCGCGTAATTATTGAACGCATGAATAATCATTTTTATTATGCAAATTCTTCTATAAATCATGTCGTTGTGTTAAATTATTCGTTACCTTATGTGTGCACACGTTGTCACAAGCGAAAATTAAGAAAATTGCAGTAAAAAGCCACCACCAAATTGTAAACAACGAACAAATGTTAACAAACGGCTAATGTCAAAGTCGCCCAACTTTTTTCCTAAATGCGATTATAACGGGCTACTAAGAAGAAGGCGTGATCTTATATTTTTGGTTCATGCAGCTAATATGCGCGCAAGCAAGTCACATGATTCAATAATACAAGGTTAGATAATTATTGACAGCCGCGGTTTGACACTCCCTTACAAAAGGTTGCATTTGCGAAGGACAGAGAAAGGGGAAGAATGTAATCCCTTGTTGCGAAAATGGTAGTAGAAAAGTAAGCAAGGTGGGCAATTAGTAGTGAAATTTCTTTTGTAAATTCTTATGTATTTGCAGGAAATATGGCATTTTAAACGAAATATTGAACGAAATATTTATACATCTACATGAATTACGTAATATATGTTCTATTTAGCTGTATAAAAATTGCAAAAGGTCTCAAAATTAAAATAAAACTACTATGAGATTTATGTAAACATCCAATTTAAAAACAAGTTATGTTTTCATCAGTTAAATGTGCTTCACATGCATATACAAATAAACATATTGCACAAAAGCTTATACTTCTGTTTCACAGCAAAGCTACACTTTTTCCAAGTAAATTTCCAAAGAGGCAACACGGTGCCACTGCTAAGGGAGCGGTGCGAGAGAGACAACTGTCAGTTTATCGAACCTTGTATTATTGAATCCTGTGCAAGTCGGTACTCACCACCTGTGTTGCCATTTCTGTTTCTGCCGTCCGGCCAGATTAATAAACAAAAATCGCTAGAATCCTGCTAAATCATTTAAATTCTGTAAACTCTTATGAAAACAAAGTTGCTTTTATAATTTAGCAGTTAAACTTCATTTGATAAAATTAGAGATCATATGTTTATAAAAAACCATCAGTTTTTTAACAAAAACAAAATTGGAACTTCGTTATATGGTTTTATAACCAGTGTTGGGATTTTGTGGCATTAAATAAAGTATTAAAATTGGTCATAAGAATGTCGAATTAAAATCTTCAAATCGTCAATAATATATAGATATGCATACATGCAGCTTTTTTCATGTTAGCTGAGCCGAAGGTACCTAAAAATATTCAACAACTATATAATACTATTAGAGTACCTTTCCCGCCATGTTCAGTGCTTATTTAGTGCATTTTATTCTGGATACGAAAATCTTTTTATATAGTATAGTATGTACAATGTACAATGTACATACATATGTGTATAAATGCATTGTTTCAAATAAAATATATATCTTGATTGAATTAAAGTGAACATTCAATTGGTTCTATAAAAGTTTAAAATCGTTATTAGTGCGTTACTATTTATTTTGGTTTTTGATAAATACAACAATACTTATATCTTGGACCGATCACTAATGTACTATAGATGTATACTAAATTTTACTGAAAAACATTTTTTGATGCTTTGATTTGTCCCAAGTTTTGGTGCTTTTAGGAAAGTTGGCAGCCATGGGGTCTCACATTCGTGAGTACTCACATATACTTGTTCTCTCATTCCGATCACACATACAGATGCAATTCGCGTAAAATTTTCTGTTTCCCCCCGGGCATAACTACCTCACCTCATCTACCCACCGGTTTGCACATTTGCCCGCGGTTTGCACGTTTGGGAATTTTGCCCGTATGTGCACAATATGCCCATTGCAACTTTAAAGAGTGGCCAAGCTTTTGGCAAGATTTACACCGCATTGGGTTAGGGAAATATGGGCAAACTGAAACTTTCCTCCATGCAACATTATTTTTTTCGGGAAGCTTGTAGCTTTCAAAGGTTAGGAGTAGTGCACCTGTTGGAGTCAGGACTCCTTCAGTTTTTCTCTGAAATCTATAAATGGATGTAACACCATACGCTTCTAAGCCGTCTACAATTTCTTGGTCAGGGACGTGATTGAGGAACGGGGCGAAAATTGTACCTTTGACACAATTGAGCTGCTCGTGGTATTTTGCTTCGATTTGACAGATTCCTGGTAGGTTTTTTACGTTGATGAACTTTTCAGTAATTTTTTTGTTTTTTCGTAAGTAGCAAAAGATTTGCATCTCTCTTCTCTGTGATCCTAACATCTTTACTTATGGCATTTAGAGCTTTATGTAGCAAAAATCACGAAAAACGTGATAGAGGTTTATTGTTGTCGCACGATTTGAGAACAATGAATTTAGGATCGTCATTCCGTGTAAAATTTACCGGAGGTAGTTCAGGAAACTCTTCCAAGGGTTTGTTGGCTTTTTTCTTTTTGATTGAGGACTACAGGAAAGCGGGGCAAACCTGTTTTCCCCTAGGTTTGTAGCAGGGTTGTTGCGAATATTGCGAATTTTAACATTCGCTTTCGCATTCGCAAAAATCAATGCGGATCTTTTGCGAATGCGAATATTGAAGGGTTCGAAAATTACAGTTATTTTTTTGACGAGTTAAACTTGGCCAAATATTTTTTATTCTGAAATAAATATACTTTCCGGATAATAAACAAACCGCTTATCCAAATTAAAAAAGTTTGGTAACCAATGAAAGAGGACTGAAATAGCTTTATTATGCGGATAGGACGGAATATAAAATCCTAGGCCAAATTTAACTCGGAAAAAAAATAACTGTTATTTTCGGTCCCTGGAATATTGTGCAAGTGCACAGTCGTATATCTAACCAGTCATAGAAGAAAGCATTAAAAATGAGTTACAAAAACTAAAGTCGAAAAACGCTGATGACGAGACAAATTCCGAAACAACCAAAAGAATGAGAATGAAGAATTCTTTCGAAAAAAACGGTGTTTAAACAACGATTGTGCCATGATGCTAGATTGTGAAGATGAAAGTCAGGAGGATACACCCGACATTTGCAGCCCCGATGAAATTCTCAAAAAGTAATTATTGCACCGCAATAAAAATAAATAAATTTAACTAAAACTCCTCTCAACTGGTGCAGTGTCAATCGAAAAGAATTTACAACTTTGCCAAGTTTCAAGGTTTTCAAGTTTGTCGCCTCGAGCGAGTAGTTATATAGTGGCGCAGGTTTGATTTACGACCCTTCAAAGTTTTTATTATATAAAATGTTTCAATTTGTAAATTCAAGTACTAAAGAGCATTCAGTCTTACCATGAGTTTAATTTTCTCCGAACCGGTTCACTTTTCACTTTTGGTTTTCATGTACATATTTACTATGGGCGGAATACAAATTTTCGGGTGATTTTTTTTCGGGCAAATCTCAGGCTAAGGCAGATTATTAAAAATTATTAAGCTTTCCATTTTTTATTTACCTAAATCACCTAATTTACCCACCTAAATTATTTACTAAAAATACATGGCATCCGCGTTCGCATTCGCATCCGCGGATGTTTAAAATTCCACATTCGCAACATCCCTAGTTTGTAGCCCCAGGGGGCATGTTGCACACTTATATTGTTAGTCGCACAGTAATATGAAACTTTGTCAATGTAAATGCACAAAAGAAAGAAACACGTGGGAAAATGCGAATGATGAAGACAAGAACACTGCACTAATGCGGGTGTAAAGTCAAACGTGATCCGCTATAGAGAGCAAACGTATGCACACGGCGGAGTTTAAGGTATTGGCCCAATGCACGCTTGCTTTGCTTACTTTAGTTTGCTTTGCTTTACTTTGAAGGCTTTTATGGCCTAATGGTAGCTTTGAACGCTGTCATAGTAGTCAGCTGATTTTCAATGCGCGCAAATATACCCGCCATTCTTTGTTGTGCCAGCAAGTATAATTGTGAATTTTAGTTAAAATATATGTTATTAAACAATTATTTGTTACTAAGAACATTATTTTTTACAGATACCTTGCTTTTTTATCGTTCCGGTTTTGGTGAAGCTGCATTTAGCTGCGCCACTCACCACCCGTGTTTATAAGACGTAATATTCAATTGGAGGTAAAAGAGTTTATATTAAACAATTATTTGTTGCTAACAACATTATTTTTTTTCAGATACCTTGCTTTTTATCGTTCCGGCCACCAGATTCGTTGGTTTTCATAAAGTTTCATTTGGCAGTACAAAATGTTGACTCGAAATGCTGAACAAGTTTTGAGAATTTTCCTAATTTTAGCGAAAATGCGTAAATTAAAACTGCGATTAAAACAGAAGCGCCGATTTTGGGTTCGGAAATTGTACTTAGAGCGACACAAATATGGATTGTTTGAAAGTTCATTAAGAAACTTGGCTGCAGATGAGGAGCAGTTTAACAAGACATTAAGAATGCCCTTTTCGTTATTTAATGTGCTGCACGAATTTCTGGAGGCTTCGCTGACCAAATATTCAATCAGAACACCAATATCGAGCCGCTGCAGACTATTTATAACCCTGATGTAAGAGAAAATCGGTTTTACTTAATAGTATACGTATAATTTTCCATATATGTATCTGGTTTTATTTTTTTGTTGCAGATATTTGGCTCACGGTGGCACTCGGCAATTCCACACAATAGTTCACAGGATCGGCCTGACGACTTTCAGGAAGATTACGTTGGAGACATGTATGACCATATGGGATCTGTTAGCTGACCTGTATGTGGCGACCCCGTCAGAAACGGAATGGGGACGTATTTCCAATGAGTTCAAGTCGCTGTGGAATATGCCCAACTGCGTTGGTTCCATCGACGGAAAGCACATTAATATTACCTGTCCAGCGAATTCAGGGTCGATGTACTATAATTACAAAGGCAATTATAGTATCGTGCTTTTGGCCGTATGTGATGCCAATTATACCTTTACCTGCGTTGACATCGGAGCATATGGAAGTCAAAGCGATGGCGGTGTCTACCACTTTTCAAAACTGGCAGATGCTATTGAAAATGATAGGCTCGGCCTTCCACATGATCAGCCTCTGCCAGGAGAAACCGAGCCATTTCCACATTATTTAGTAGGAGATGCTGCTTTTCCCTTACGGCGTTATTTAATGCGACCATATCCGGGTAGAGGTATTCCAGAAGAGCAAGAGTATTTCAATAAAAGACTCTCTCGTGCAAGAAGAGTTATAGAAAACGCATTTGGAATACTCACTGCCAAATGGAGAATATTGAGAACGACGCTATGCATGGCCCCGAAAAATGCAGAACAAATAGTGAAAGCTTGTATTGTCTTGCATAATTTTATTAAGCTTTCGTGTGCAAACTATGTAGCAAGCGATTTTGTTGATCGCTACGAAGAGGATGCCACCATCGCTGGCTCATGGCGAAACGAAGTAGTTCCATTGCCCTCAATAAGTAGGGTGTCATCGAACCGAGGCAGTTCAAATAATTATGATTTAAGGGATGCTCTGAAGACACATCTTTTTAACAATAAAATTTAAATAATTACTACTCACTGAATATGCTTTGTTTTTATTATTTAAGATAGAAAACAAAAATTTGAACTCACAGTATGAGGGCACTTATTGGTAATGTTTTAAATGTCGTCACATCTTTCAGGTTTTTAAATTAATTTTTGTTCAAGGTAAGTATGGCGTTAACATAACATATATTTCATTCAGTCTTTTAAGTTAAAACCGTTTTACACAGTATAGTGGTTACAAACAATATACCTTTCAGTCAAACCTTTGAAATCAAACTGGATGTCATTTAAATTTTTAAATTTCGTAAATTCAATTTTTATAATTTTTATATTGAGCATAGACGTATTGAAGTACGTCCATTTGAAAATCTAGGCGGCTCTCTTCTGGGACCTTCTCAAACACTTCGCCAATCGCACCCAAGAAATTGTTGTGTGTTTTTTTTTTTGACTATCCACAAACTGACTTACTTCGTTGACTAGATCGTTAAAGGCGGCGTTCTCATCGTTTTTTTTCTTTTGTCTCTTAGCCGGCGTTGGGGCAGTGGTTTCTTGCTCTTCTATTATAATGTTCCCACTCTCGCCTATTTGGAATCCAAAGGAAGTATCCAGTATATCTGGTTCTTGTCCGAGAACTTCTGGCGTTTGGGAGACGATGTTTGTTGTTGTTCTTAAAATATGTACATATAAATTACAATTTAAAATATAAATACTTGTTGTACAAATGTAAAGTACACTTACTGTCTGGGCGTGACCGTGTCTTTCAAAAACAACATAGCATCGAAATAAGGCCAAGTTCGTCTCTGAAGTATCTGAAAAAAAATAATGTTGTTAGCAACAAATAATTGTTTAATATAAACTCTTTTACCTCCAGT